AGTCAATAAATATATGAAAAAAAAAAAAAGCTCAACATCACTAATCAGAGAAATGCAAATCAAAACCACAATGAGATATCATCTCACCCCAGTTAGGATGACTATTATCAAAATGGCAAAAAAAAAAAAAAAAAAAAAAAAAAGAGGATGCAGAGAAAAGTGAAAATTCTTACACATTGTTGGTGGGAATGCAAACTAGTATAGCCACTATGGGCAACAGAATGGAAATCCCTCAAAAAAACCTATAAATGGAACTACCATACAATCCAGCAATCCTACCTACTGTAAATTTATACAACAAAAAGGAGATCATTATATTGAAGAGACATTTGTACCCCATGTTTACTGTAGCACTATTCACAATAGCCAAGATACATCATCAACCTAGGTGTCTAACAACAGATAAATGGACAAAGAAAATGTGGTATTTAAGGCTGGGCACAGTGGCTCACGCCTGTAATCACAGCACTTTGGGAGGCCGAGGTGGGTGAGTCACTTAAGGTTAGGAGTTTGAGACCAACCTGACCAACATGGCAAAACTCCATCTTTACAAAAAACACAAAAATTAGCCAGATTTGGTGGTAGGCGCCTGTAATCCCACCTACTCAGGAGGCTGAGGCAGGAGAATTGCTTGAAACCAGGAGATGGAGGCTTCAGTGAGCTAAGATTGTGCCACTGCACTCCAGCTTGGGTGAAAGAGCAAGACTCCCTCTCAAAAAACAACAACAACAACAAAAAAAAAGAATGTGGTATTTATACACCATGGAATACCATGCTGCCATAAAAAAATGAAGTTTTGCCATTTGAGGCAACAAAGATGGAACTAAAGAACATTCTGTTACGTTAATAAGCTAAAAACAAAAAGTTAATACCACATGTTCTCACTCATAGGTGAAAGCTAACAAGTGTTCATATAAAAGTGAAAAACAGAAGAGAAAATTCTAGAAGCTGGAAAGGGAGGGATGGGGAATATTTGTTAAAAAATACAAAATTACACTATGTGGGAGTAAGTTCTAGTGTCCTACAGCACTGTAGGATGCCAAGAGTTAACAATAATTTATTACAGTTTCAAACACCTAGAAGAAAAATACTGAATGTTCCCAATACAAAGAAATGATAAACATTTGTGATGATCGATATGCTAATTACCCTGATCTGATCACCATATATTGTATGTATCAAAACATCACTATGTACCCCGTGAGTATGTACAATTATTAGTCAATTTTTAAAAATTTTTGGATGGTTTATATTTTATCATTGTCTATGATGCAAATGTACATAATAACCAAAGATTTTATTAACTCTAAAAGCTTTAGGAGAAAACAGAGGAGAATATTTTTATGATCTTGGAGGAGATAATTATTTTTTAAAGACCCAAAAAAGTAAAAATAAAAATGTATAAATGCAACTACATTAAAGTTTGTTCATCAAAAGACAACATAAAAACATTAGAAGTCAAACCACAAAGCAAAAGATGTCAGTATTTGCAACTAACTGCACATATAACTTTTTTAAATGATAATATAGAATAAATTTTATTTTATAAATTTTATAAATTTTATTTATTTAAGAAAAAGACAGAAATCCCATTAGAAAAATGGTCAAAAGTTATCAACAGTTATTTTATTAGAAATGATATACCATGTCAGGCACGGTGGCTCATAGCTGTAATCCCAGCACTTTGGGAGGCTGAGGCAGGTCGATCACTTGAGGTCAGAAGTTCAAGACCAGCCTGGCCAACATGGTGAAATGCCATATCTACTAAAAATACAAAACTTAGCTGGGCATGGTGGTGCATGCCTGTAATCCCAACTACTTGGGAGGCTAAGGCACCAGAATTGCTTCAACTCAGGAGGCAGAGGTTGCAATGAGCCAAGAGTGCCTCACTGCACTCCAGCCTGGGCAACAGAGTGGGACTGTCTCAAAAATAAATAGATAAGAAACAATCTCCCAAAGTCCTTTAAACATATGAAAAGATACTCAAATTTATTAGTAATCAAAGAAAGGCAAATTAAAACCATTAGATAAAATTCACATCCACCAGATTTTCAAAATTAAAAGATGTATGAATTAACTTCTGAGTTCTCTATTATTTTATATTGATTTACATGCCTGCTTTTATGCCAGTACCATGCTGTTTTGGTTACTACAGTTTTGTAGAGTATTTTGAGTTCTGGCAGTGTTCTGACTCCCACTTTGTTCTTTTTGCTCAGGATTGCTTCAGCTACTCAGGATCTTTTGTGGTTCCACACAAATTTTACATTCTTTTTTTATTTCTGTGAAGAATGACACTGGTATTTTTATAGGAATTGTATTAAAGCTATAAATTGCTTTGAGTAGTATCAAGTGTTGGTAAGAATTTAAAGCAAAGGAAACTCATGCACTGCCGAGAAGAGCATAAATTGGCTTAGCCAATTTAAAAAATAATTTATCTTGTAAATCTGAACATATACGCTACCCACAATACTTATTTCTAGATACATATTTTAGTAATGCTTGACAAACTCTAGACAGTTACCCAATTCACTGATTTCTAATCAGTATTTTAAAATAGAGTAATATGGAAAGGAAAATACCAATATACATTGCAGGTGGTTCAAGGTAAAGTATGGCTTTGTATTTACACACACACACACACACACACACACACACACACACACACACATACACACACACACACACTCTCTCTCTCTCTCTCTCTCCCTCCCTCCCCCTCTCTCTCTCTCTCTTTCTCTCTCTCTCTCCCCCTCCCTCCCTCCCTCTCTCCCTCTCTCCCTCTCTCATCCACACACTTATCATGCAAAATGCATTTCTTACTGTGGGTAATGTGCCAAAGAGTTTCAAAGTTACTGCCCTATGAGGAAACTCTTACACATGAGCTCTAACAAACACAGAAATGGCATTATGTGGAATAGCAAAATCCTGTAAAAAACTCAAATGTCCTCCTAGATGTAGAATGGATAAATAACTTATTGTGTATGGATACACTGGAATGCTATACAGCAGTGAAAAAGTGGTACCTAGTTACATGATTAACCTGAATACTTCCCAAAAACATGTTAAACAAGAAAACCAAGTCACAGAAGAACATACCAAGTATGAATCTATTCATATGAAGGTGTCAGAATGAGCAACTTTAAGGATTTAACTGTGGTAAAAGTACAATGAAAAAGAAGAAAAGAATAAATACAATATTCAGATTATCTTTTGAGAAAGTGACAGGCTGATGGGATGAGGAATACAAACTAAGGGCTTCTATGATTCTGGTTAGTTCTTAAGCTGAATGGTAGACACACAAAAGGTACATTGGTGGCATCTGAGTCACATAATTTACCAGCCTTAGTGCTGATCTTAGGTATCACTGTTATATGGAATAACTTTTCCTATTGTTTAAGCCCCATTTTGAGTTGTATCTTCCATTACTTTTAGTTTAAAAACCCTCAAGCTGAAACAGCCTGTAAGTTTGTATCCTGTGCAACTGGGATCTGACTTAGTATAAGCTATCATTTAATCCTATTCTGTTTGTCTAAATGTATCAATAAAACCTTACAATATTAGCAACCCCAAACTATAAAAAAAATTGTTTGGAAGAAAGAGACTTAAATGCTAAGCTATTTTAAAGAGACTCATTAAAATAGTTTAGCGTTTTTTCAGTCCTAAAATGTTTCTTCCCTGGAAATGTTCTGATTAAGCATGTGTGATATCAAGAACAATCAAGATTCAAGATCTATAAAATGTCAAACAGATAAGGAGGGAGTCGGGCTTGTACTCTTGCCCTCAGCAGGGAACAGCTTGATCTGCCTGGAGGATCACAGTTATTGGAGCTACAGGCTGGATGTCAAAGCACAGGCAGAATTCAGCCACTGCAGGAGTCCTCAAAAGGAGAAAGAACAAGGAAGTGAAGAGCTTTTATTCAGAAAGGTGCGTGGGCTCTGCTGTTTTGGCCAGAGGAATAAGTAACAGTGGTTTCTCCATGGACGAATCCTATACTGGAGACCAGCCCAGCTGAGGAAGTAAGACTTCCATGTCACCACCTTGGCAGACACACTGGAAAGGGTAGATAAGAAAATGGGATCTACAGAGAGAAATACACACACGCCATTTATGCTATCTGCCAGAAACTTAATGAGGTACAACCTCAATGGGCAGCACTTCATCTCATCCTCAAGATGAATCCACAAAACTAAGTCTCCCTATTTTACAGATGAAGGTGCTAGAACTCAGAGGCTAAGTCAACTGCCAAGGTTACCCACCCAGTCACTGGTGAGGCTGAAACTCAAACTTACAGCTGTGTGATCCTAAAACTCATATTCTGTTTTTGAGACAGTGTCACGCTTTGTCACCGAGACTGGAATGTGGTGCCATGATCTTGGGTCACTGCAACCTCTTCCTTCCAGATTCAAACGATTCTCCTGCCTCAGCCTCTCCAGTAGCTGGGAATATAGGTACCCACCACCACACCCACTATTTTTTGTATTTTTAGTAGAGACATGATTTCACCATCTTGGCAAGCTAGTCTCAAACTCCCGACCTCAAATGATCCACTCACTTCAGCCTCCAAAAGTGCTGGGATTACAGGTGTGAGCCACTGGGCCCAGCCTCAAATTATTTTATACCTTATGCAAAAAGGACAAGGAAGACCGGAACAACTCCATCTTGGAGCATTCCCTCTTAAAATGAACTCAGAGCTGCCCCCAGAAACGCCTGCCCTCTCCTGCTAAACACAACGCTGGCAACACTGTGAAGATGCGACCCAGCTCAGTTCAGCAGGATCCCGTTACAGAGGAGAATGCTACCACCCTTGGTTCCCAGACCACAAGCACAGCCCTGACTTCCCGTCAGCCACTTCTCACATGCGTAATCTTGGCCACAAGAGTAGGTTCAAAAACAGTAAAGAGGATTTGCTCAAGGCAGCTGCACTCCTGCTTTCCCCCACTTCAGCTCCACGCATGCTAACTGTTTGGGCTTGTTCCACTGTTGGTGATTCCCACAATTACCTAAGGTCCAGCAAGAGACAGTCCCCAGGAGAGGGATGCTGCTGTAGATGGCGTGCATGTACATCAGGTGAGCCATCAGCTCGGCCAGCCACCACCAGAACAGAAGGCGGCCCAGTCCCAGGGCCAGGACACACAGGCTGGCCTTCAGGGAGTCATGCTCCTGCTGCTGCATCTAAAGTGGATACAAAAGAGGTCATTAGATGGTGCCTTGATTTCTGAAACAGTCCCTTAGACAAGATTTGTCATAAACTTCCCGCAAATGTTATTGTGGCATCAGCCGACAGAGGGTTGGTTTCGTTTATCTTGGGAACGCTCAATGTTCTTGGGTGGAAGAATCATATCTGAGCATGAACACTGTCTCAAAATAAGAATGGGGAGTGGGGAGGTCAACAAGCTAGCCTAGTGCCAAGAACCAAAGACAGGTTCAGTGGAGTCATAGTTCCACTCAAGCATCAGCCCTGGAAAAACCCAAGTCGGGGGGCAGGACCAGGTGTATTCTCCCCACTGGGAATTTGGAGTTTCTTTGGGCTACGGGTGCTACCCTGCCTGTCTTTCGCCATCACCTACTCATGTCTGAGGCTGGTAAAAGTAGAGCCCAGTCAAAAAGAGACACAGGGCTGGTAGAAAAGAGAGAAAGACAGAGGCTGATAGCAAGGGAAAATGATATGTGGGGGTGTCATTCCACCCTAAGTTGTTTTTGAAACATGGCAGACAGTATGTGGACCAAGTCTCTTGCTTAGTAGGCAGTAAAGCATAGTATTTAAGAATACAGACTTTAGAAAATGTAAAATAAGGTGGGGCATGGTAGCTCGCACCTGTAATCCCAGCACTTTGGGAGGCCAAGGTGGGTGGATCACCAAGGTCAGGAGTTGGAGACCAGCCTGGCCAACATGGTGAAACCCCATCTCTACTAAAAATACAAAAACTGGCTGGGCATGGTGGCACATGCCTGTAGTCCCAGCTACTTGGGAGGCTGAGGCAGGAGAACTGCTTGAACCTGGGAGACGGAGGTTGCAGTGAGCCAAAATCAGGCCACTGCACTCCAGCCTCGGCAACAGAGCGAGACTCCCTCTAAAAAATAAAAACAAAAAGAAGTAAAATAAATCACTTTTGAGTAATTTTGTCATGAAAACAATGTTGAGTCTGTCACTCCATAAACTCAGGCTGTTTTTCTACTTGTCAGGTCTTCTTTAAATTTCTTTCAGCAATGTGCGTCGTGTTCCGTGTACAAATCTTGCACCTCTTTGCTTACAGTTATTCCTAATTATTTTGTTCTTTTTGATGTTGTTGTTAATGCAATTTTCTTCTTTAAAAAATGGACTTTAGAGTCAGAGAGGATCAAGATCAAGGACTACCACGAACCACACAGCCACGTGATCCTGAGCAAGTTGCTGAACTTTTCGGAGTCTGGGTGTCCTCATACGTAAAGTGAAAATCACTGTTGCGATGATTAAATATGATTACGTATGTGCAGTACTAAGTACAGTGACTGGAGTACAAGGAGCACTAGATACTTGGTAGTTAATATTTATCATTATCCGCCTCCCACGTGTGTCCTCCCATCCTTCCCACGTGGCGTGTCTCAGACAACCAGCCACAGGGCAGCATAAGGAGACAGCTCAGGGCCAAACACCCCAGGTAAGAGAAGGATGTGTTGATCATTCTTAGATACAGATAGAAGCTACTGAGAGTATACTCAATACATGTGGACAACACAGACAAAAATTTTTAAAGCCCGGTTCTGTGGTCTCACCTCACTGCCTTTTTTAAGAGATACACGATAATTTAAGACACATAGATTCTAGAATTTGTAAACATGCTGTAAAATTTGAAGTGAATTCAATTTCATTCAGCCTTATACCACTAAACAAATAAAAATACAGAAAAACAAGAGAGAGCAGTAAGTTTTCAGGATCTTATAATGCCAAGATTTTATTAGACTGAAAGCTCCCTTGAAACGCAGAGGACAGACTAATGCTAAATGACGAAGCTGCATCTGAACGATCAGCCGGTAGAGGAAAAGAGCTAGATCTAGCATTTGACTGTCAGGGTTCATGTCACAATGTAAACAGGAAAGGCCCATTCCATGTGGTACCTCCTTGGCTTCTCTCTCCTCCAACATCAGGGTGTAGTGGGTCCTACTGCAGCCAGCAGAGTAGCAGGTACTGCCCTCAGAGGGGAAGAAGGAGCTAAACGCCAGGGAATTTATTTTTATTCCACAGTCCCTCAAACCGTCCTCCTGCAACAAGAAGCCAGGCTAAGAAATTTTGGCTGGCTTATTGGCATGACAATCACCTGCACAAATAAGTTTCTCCCTCTTGCCATCTGCTTGGTCAATACCCAGAGAAGCTTGTTGGCTTAACTTTCAAAATGTAAATTAGGCCAGGTCAGGTGGCTTGCATCTGTAATCCTAGCACTTTGGGAGGCCAGCGCAGGTAGATCACCTGAGGTCAAGAGTTTGAGACCAGCCTGGCCAACGTGGTAAAACCACGTCTCTACTAAAAATACAAAAATTAGCTGGGCACAGTGGCACGTGCCTGTAGTCCCAGCTACTCGGGAGGCTGAGATAGGAGAATCACTTGAACCCAGGAGGAGGAGGTTGCAGTGAGCCGAGATTGCACCACTGCACTCCACCCTGGATGACAGAAAAACTGTCTCAAAAAAAAAGGAAAAAATTGGTAAAACTGACAGGAATTTCCTTTTTGCCTTGTTTCCCTCAGTTCACACTTCAGGAAGATATTTTATGCAGCCATACCAATCTGCATTGTTAAGAAACAGTAATAACTGTTTTGGAGAATTCATCTGGTTAGTGTTGACAGGAAGCAGAACTGGGGTTCCCCAAGGAGGAAGATTGGGTATCCTGGGGTATCTGCAGACCCCTTTCTGGACATAAACTGAGGATGGTTTTCATTTGAATCCTTACCTCAAGCATGCACACTCTGAGAGACCCTGCAAAGTCTACGGTAGTGGATCTGTTACAAGGCAATCACTAAATCCTCAGTACAGGAACACCTACCTGCCAGATTATTCACGTTTGTGTTATTTAATAGACAAGAAAGTAAAAGGAAATAACCAAAATGTCCAACATTAGGGTATTGATTAAATGCATGAATGTACCTCAATGTAGTCATGAAAACTATTTTTGTTCAATGTGCATAAAACGATGAAAGGCTGGAAAGATATACACCAAATGTTAACAGTGGTAATCTTTGAATGGTGAGAGTTTAATTATTTGACAATTAAAATCGTTTTTCTTTTTGTTTTTTGATACACAGCAAATGTCAATGGTTGTCATCTTTGGATGGTAAGATTTTAGTTATGTTTTACAATTAATATTGGTTCTTTTCAGTCAGATAAAAAATAACGTAACATTAAAATATTGGGAATATTTTGGCCCTCTGCCAACCCATCACAGGCCAGAGTGCAAGGGCCTAGGGAACAGAGCAATTGCAAATGCCAAGGAGGGGCTGTCACTGCCCTGGTTCCAGCTCACACTGCGGGCTCTGCTCCCCACTCCTCATCACCACACTCCTTGGCTGCCTGAAAGTGGCTCCTGTGGGCCCTAGTGCAGTGTAGTTGGCACCACAACCAGCAAAGCTGTCAGGGTGTATGGCTGCCTCCACCTGGATGTCTAACAGTGCCTAGAGAGCCATGGGGCCCAGACAAAGAAATGCACAAAGGCAGGGCCCAGCCCAGCCATAGGGATGGCAGTGCTCTCGTGATCCCAGACCAGTAGAGCCACCAGCTCAAGATTCCGGCCTGGGTGATCTGCAGGAGGTGCAAAGCCACCCTGAGGGCAGAGCCACCCCCCCCACCCCCTGCCCCAATTTATGTCCAGAAGGCACCCCAGTGTGTCTGGAAGGTGAGACCTCCACCCTAGTGGGCCTGGAAAAACGAGCCAATGATGATGATTTCTGAGCCTTAAGGTTTTGGACGTCCTCAGGACCTTTTAATCTTTTCTTCTTTCCTATTTCTACCTGTTGGAATTGAAATGTCCGTCCTATGCCTGTCTAACCATTGTATTTGGGTGCACAAAGCTTGATTTCACAGGCTCACAGCTGAAGGGGAATTTGCCTAAGGAAAGGAAGGATCATACTTTGAATATCACATGCATCCAATTTAGATGATATTTAAATGAGACTTTGGATTTCAGACACTAGGATTGGTGCTGGAACAAGTTAATACTATTGGGGCTACTAGGATGGAATGAGTGTATTTTGCATGTAAGGAGGACATTAATTTTCAGGGGCAGGGGCAGAATGCTATAAACTGAATGTTTACATCACCCCACTAATTCATATATTGAAACCCGAAACCCAATCCCCAAGGAAATGGTACTAGGAGATGGGGTCTTTAGGAAGTGATTTGGTCATGAGGGCATTCTTCATGGCTGGGAACAGTGCCCTTATAACAGATACCCAAGAGCTAGACCCCTTCCACCACAAAAGCACACAGTGACAGGTACCATCCTGTGAACCAGGAAGCAGGCCCCTATGGACATTAAATCTGCCAGTGCCTTGATCTTGGACTTCCCAGCCTCTGAAACTGTGAGAAATAAATTTCTGATGCTTAGAGGCCATCTAGTTTATGGTATTTTGTTATAGCAGTCTGAATACACTAAGACACATAGTATCCATTAGTCAGTAGAGGCTAGAGGAGTTCACACCAAGGTTAAGACATGTAGAGGCAGCAAAATCACTCCAGACCCATGGACAGGAGGTCTTTCCTGGTACCTAAACTCTTCTCTTTATGACACAGGGTGTCACTCTATTGCCCAGGCTGGAATGCAATGATGTGATCCTACCTCACGGTAGCCTTGATCTCCTGGGCTCAAGTGATCCTCCTGCCTCAGCCTCCCGAGTAGCTGGGACTACAGGCATGCACAACCACACCTGCTGATTTTTCTATTTTTTTGTAGAGATGAATTTTACTATGTTGCCCAGGCTGGTCTTGAACTCCTGGCCTAAAGTGATCTTCCTACCTCAGCCTCCCAAAGCACTGGAATTACAGGTGTAAGCCACTGTGCCCAACCTGCTTAAAGTCTTGGAGAGAAGGAAGTCTTCTATCTGAACCTGATAATGGCCTCAAAAGCAGTGTTGACATCAGACAATCTTCGCACAGCCAAATGTCTCCAGTTTCTAAATAAGCAACCGTGCATATGGTCTACAGGCCCTTGAGTATAACCTACGCCAAGCTCAGGTCCCCTGAAGGCCAGGACTGCACCTTGGGCCTCCAAGCAGCACTGGGTATGGAGCCCCATCCCAGGGAGTGGAGAGAGTGTGGCTGTACTGGAAGGGAACCAAGAGGAGGCCAGAACCAACAACCCCCAAGGCAATCAAAAAAATACTGCTAACACCCAATCACCTCTCAGCTCCAGGCAGTCTCATTTCAAGGTCAATTCAAAGAGCTCCTTTTCCTTCTCAAACCATGTACATTCTAAAATGACACAAATATCTGTAATTAAGAAAAATCATGAGGTACGTTTCGTGGTACACTGACTTACTACTTCCCACAAGCTAAAACTTCCCTACTAGGTTTAATAAGGCATAATTACCTGTCACTACAGGATCAAAAGAGCAACACTCTGCAACACTCCCTTTCTGTTGCTAACTGCCTCCTTGCTCCAAGCAACAAAAATGTTTATTGCACAAATAAGCTGGATGTGATGGCTCATGCCTGTAATATCAGCACTTTGGGAGGCCAAGGTGGATGGATCACTTGAGGTCAGGAGTTTAAGACCAGCCTGGCCAACATGGTGAAATTTCATCTCTACTAAAAACACAAAAATTAGGCCGGGTGCAGTTGCTCGCAACTGTAATCCCAGCACTTTAGGAGGCTGAGGCAGGTGGATCACGAGCTCAGGAGAACAAGACCATCCTGGCCAACATGGTGAAACCCCATCTCTACTAAAAATACAAAAATTAGCTGGGCGTGGTGGCACGTGGCTGTGATCCCAGCTACTTGGGAGGCTGAGGCAGGAGAATCACTTGAACCAAGGAGTCTGAAGTCGCAGTGAGCTGAGATCGTGCCACTGCACTTTAGCCTGGGCAATGGAGTCAGACTCCATCTCAAAAAAAAAAAAAAAAAAAAAAAAAAAAAAAAAAAAAATTGTACAATAAACACAGCTCCAACTTTCATTCTATTTGTTTTTAACAAAAAAAAAATTATTCATCTTTCTTGAGTCACATCATTATTACAGTCCATTTACATCCACAATCTAGTTGACTTTTTGTTTAAAAAATCCAACATTTGTTCCTTGTCGAGCCAGCAGGAAGAACAGACAGACCATGTACAGACATCTCTGACGCCCTCACATCTAATGTGCAGGGCAGCTCTCTCAGCTGCATGCAGTCTTTCATTAGAGACATTTCAGACCTAGGGAACTGCCAACCTTAAGACCACTGGAAACTGCCACCTTGGAAATTGTTGAGTTTAGGCACCACTAAAAATACACATTAACTCACCTGCAAAGTGCATTTCAAAATGCATTATATTTTAAAGCCTCATTTCATGCAAATTGCATAAAGAAGAATAGCGAAGCCTTTCTGTCTCTTCCAAATATATTCTGATGATGAAAGATGACAGTTCTCAAAGATGAAAGGTCTTTTTTCTTCACACAGGAAAAATACATATGTTTGTGAGCACCGAACAGAAGCCCTCTCCAGAGCCACATATTCAGCTGGGCCACCTGGGCCACTAACTCCTTGACTTCTCCCTGTCTGGGTCTAGGAGGCCTTGCAGCAGATGTTGGATTCCTTTATACTCGTCACAGACCATACTCCTACTCCTAGCAAATCATTCCCTCATCAGACCCACGTTACTCCCACCCCCAGCCATCCAGACCAAGGCCAGGGACATTCACTGAGCTCTCCCAGAACACCAAGTGGGGCCTGCAGGTGTTGCTGCCCCAAGATGGGGACTTGCATCCACGCAGCTTGAGCCTCCAGACCACACTCCATTCCCCTCGAACTCCTCCTGCCCACCAAGCCAGCACAACAAGCTCATGTTTGGATTCCCTTTGCCCTAGCTGTGTTGCAATAGCCATTCTTTGCCTGTTTTCCTGTCTGTAAAGTGGTCGTGGCAGTATCTTTCTCATAGGTTGTAAGGATTAAACAAGTTAGAATGGCCAGGCACAATGGTGTGTGCCTGTGATGCCAGCACTTTGGGAGGTTGAAGCAAGGGGATCCCTTGAGGCCAGGAGTTTGAGACTAGACTAAGCAACATAGTAAGACCTCATCTCTATAAAAGTTTTTTTGAAAAATTAGCCAGGTGTGGCGGTGCACACCTATAGTCCCAGCTACTTAGGAGGCTGAAGTGGGACGATCACTTGAGCTTGGGAGGCCAAGGCTACAGTAAGCCAAGATTGTGCCATTGTATTCCAGCCTGGGTGTCAGAGTAAGACCATCTCAAAATTTTTAAGTTAGAATGTGTAAAGCCAGGCTTGGAATAAATGATCAGTATTTTTTAATTACAATTAGCATGATTCCAGGTGCTCTCTAGAACCAAAGCCCAAGCCAAATGCTAAACTAAGCTTCTGGGACATCGACTGCCTTGCACAGCTCTTGCCAGTCCCGGCAACTCTCGAACTGGCCCCATCCCTGTTCCTGCAGCAGCTGCCCGGGTCTCTCTTAAAATAGATGGAACCAGCACACTGGCCGCTTCTGAGCCCAAGCATGGTCATGGCCCAGGGTCCCCTGCTGTTGTGCCTGCCTACCAGACTGGATACCCGGGGTCTCACTTCTGACCTAAACTACCCTAGAATTATACATGCTTTCTGTCCAATAATCACAATAATAAAAGTAAGAGGCCAGGCGTGGTGGTTCACACCTGTAATCCCAGTACTTTGGGAAGCCGAGGCAGGTGGAACACCTAAGGTCAGGAGTTCAAGACCAGCCTGGCCAACATGGTGAAACCCTGTCTCTACTAAAAATACAAAAAAATTAACTGGGCGTGGTGGTGCATGACTGTAATTCCAGGTACTTGGGAGGCTGAGGCATGAGAATCACTTGATGCCAGGAGGTGGAGGTTGCAGTGAGCTAAGGTTGTGCCACTGCACTTCAGCCTGGGCAACAGAGCAAGAGTCCATCTCAAATAAGAAGAAGAGGAGTAAAAATTCACACTTTATAGTATTTATTCCTGGCCTCAAGTAATCCTCTTACTTCAGCATCCCAAAGTACTGGCATTACAGGCACACACCATGTGCCTGGCCATTCTAACTTGTTCTATGAGACAGATACTGTCATGACCATTTTACAGACAGGGAAACAGAGGCAAAGAGGCTATTACAATTCAGAAAAGGTAAAGGGAATGTCAAAGCATATTACCTATACACAGTCATTTAATCCTCATAGCAATCCTGAGGGAGGTACTATTATTTTTCCCATTTCACTGATATGGAAACTGAGGCATAAACAAGGCAAATAACTCAGCAAGTACTCTCCAATGAAAGCAGAGCAGGAATTTGAACCCAGGAGGGTAGGCTCCAAGACCTTTGCTCTTAACCTTCATGCCAATTTCCTATTTGACCATTGGCTTCTCTAAGGTAGGAGGCACAGCCCACAGCAAGGAAGAGTCCCTGGCCCACCATACTAAGGCTGCTCCTTCCCCTGCAAGGCCACCCACACTGCACCAGTCAACCTCTTCAAGATATAGTGGCCCCAGGCTCCAGGTTAGCAAGCAAATGCCATGTCCTGCCCTTCCCTACGTCCCCCAGGATCTGCCTTACCCGACTTGGTATCCGGGTTCCATAGAAACATGAGAGAAAAACTAATCAGACCCATGCTCCTAAAACTCTAAATGCCACCAGAAATAGTCTTCAAGTTAAGTCAGAGGCAAATTTTTACCTGTTCGTGACTAATTATGCAAATTGCATATGCTTTATATTGCAGAAGACACCTCTTCTATACCTCCCTCATTCTGTGTATGTAAATTTGGTGGAAGATATATTCTCCAGGGATATGTCTAAAACTAACATTGTCATTTGATCTTTTGGAGTTTGCAGTTACTGGGTGAAGATTTCCCTCTGGGGTTGGTTTCCATGATGAGACACTGCTGCCCCCTGGTGGTGCAGCTTCATTCTCCTGCTCTACATTGTTTTTTAAGCATTGACCGGCCAATCTAAGACCCATGCATTTCAATATTTCCAATCCTTATAGCTGAAGGCATTTCATGCATGCATTCATTCAAACATTCATTCAGTGTAAATCTTGCTTACAAGTTCTTCCAACTAGCTTCCTTTCTCTTCATTCCAGCCTTTTCTTCTTGGCTTCTCTGAAAGAACCCTTTTGCTACAAGACAAGCTTTTTGGTTTAACCCCCACTCTCCCAACCACTTTAAAGCCCCCTTCCCCACGGAAGGGAAGCATCCCATGTAGAAGGGAAGCATCCCATAGCCACCTTCAGCAAGTGCAGAAACCCCCTGGCTTTTTTAATTTGCCCTATATCTTAGTGAACATTTCTCCTTTTCTAGAATGACTATTCTATGAATACTTCCCAAACATAAATAAAGGTTTTAATTTGCACTTTGGAGTTCCCTGCTGTCAGCAATTGCTATTGTTTTGGAAGGGGTAAAAAGAGAGAGACGGAAGGAAAAGATGTGGATAAAATCCAGAGTTCTACATCTGAGCCCCCATAGGAAGCAACCTGCCCTGTTACTTCCCCAGACTGAGACTCAAGAGAATCCCCTGGCTAAGGATTTAGTGCCTCTATGTGACACAGGACCCTTCCAGAGGCCTCTAATATTCTTACTGGACCCTAAAAAGCACAATTTGAAAAGGAAGTCCAGGCACGGTGACTCAAGCCTGTAATCCAAGTGCTTTGGTAGGCCGAGGGCAGATTGCCTGAGCTCAGGAACTAGAGACCAGCCTGGGAAACACAATGAAACTCCATTTCTCCTAAAAATACAAAACATTAGCTGGGTGTGCTGGTGCATGCCTGTAATCCAGCTATTCAGGAGGCTGAGGCACAAGAATCACTTGAACCCAGAAGGCAGAGGTTGCAGTGAGCCAAGATTGCACCACTGCACTCCAGCCTGGGTGACAGAGTGAGACTCTCAAAAAAAGAGGAAAAAAAGAGATAATAAGAGAAACAATTATTTTGCATAATAACAAAGTACAGAGCATACAGGGCAAGTATCTTATGTATAAGAGGAAGTCAGGAATATAACCTATGTCTACCTAATTGATTTAGTTTATGTTTCTCTGAAAATGACCAGCTATCCTCAGGAGAGGGGTGTCTCTGTGTGGATGCTTGGTCCTAAAGTTATTGGCTGGCACACTGAAGATAATCCAAAAGTTCACAAAAGAGATTATGAGAGGGGAAACCCACCCTATACTGTGCCCACTGTAACGTCACCTCTGCCCCCCTCCTGGAGGGCCTGTTCAAGTGCCTTCCTGGGCTCTGCCCCTAAAGATTCTGATTCAGGAGGTTGGAGAGGACCTGAGAATTGGTTTTTCTAACAAGTTATCTGGGGATACTGATGCTGCTGTTCTAGGAACCACGCTTCGCAAATCATTGAGTTACAAAGATCAGCTGCCATCACTAAACCACCCCTTTTATGCATAATTTTCAACACAATTTTAAATGTAGATTTTAAATTCCTTCATGACAAAAGAACCACCCCAAACTAAGGTATGATAAGCCATAGACTAAACATATCTGCCTAGAATGTCAGTTTCACTTAAAGATTTCGAGAGATACAAAAAGTTACATACTTTCACTGGCAATTTTAGAACACTTATTGTTATCATGCAAAAATCTATTTTTGAACACAATGCATAATTTAGTGGAACTCTGAGGACAAAATATGGCTTCTAAGAACCCTCCTTTTTCGGGGAGCGTCTTTCATGTTGCCCCCCAGAAATGTGCAACACTGCTGCTTGCCCTGCACTTCCAGGTGTGTGTACGTGTTGTACGAGTCTATGCATGTACATGTTATTCTGTCCTCAATGAAGATTGTTTTGTTTCGGTGGTGGGGGTAGAATAACCCTTGATAAACAGTGTTAAGCATTGCCAATTACTAAGCCCTTAGGTGAATTAACTTAGCAATTACGTTCCGCGAAACTAGATGTGAGTTGAGGAGGCAGAAAAAAAAAAAAGTTCTAAGCAGTGGAAGGTGGGGTGGGGGGTGGAGTGAAGTAGGGAGAGAAACAAAGGTAGCTTAACATGGCATTTCAGACAAGGACGGTGTCCGGGGAAGGCAGGCAGGGGCCTGGGCACAGATAGGCATCCTGACCCCAACACACACCATTGCCTTCTCACTTACTTCTGCTCCACTCTGCGTTCACATCTAGGTACACTAAACACCACCCAGCTATAGGACTATTTCTTAAGCCGTTTGTGAACATAAAAGAAAATATATTTGCCAAGCAACCGCTTAGACGGTTTCCTTTTCTGCTTCTTCAAGCAATAGCATCATAATTTTTTTTCCTTCCCTGGGACTTCACCACAGTGGATAGATACCACCTCCCAAACTCTGCTGCACCCCAGTCATTAATCCTGGTTGCCAGAGTTCACTGAAATTCAAAGTGGGAGCCTCTAGAGCTAACATACCTGATGGGTCAAACTTTATCTTAAAGGCTCGTTTCTCATATGTATTTCACCTAATATATAAAACCTCATAAGAACTAAGAGCGTGTGTTGTAAATTTATGGGCACCTCTGAAGAAAAAGGCTCAAGAGTCAGAGAAGATCAGAGCAACAACGACAAAGCCTTAACCTACAGAATCCCAGTCCCGTCCCGCAGCGGGCTCTACCTGTTTGATGAACTCCGGGAAGCTGAGGATAGGCCCGTTGTGGAAGACTGGATAATAAAAGACATAGGCCAGCATCCAGGGAAAGGAGTAGGAGGTACATGCAGCGGGCAGCTGCCGCCAGCAGCGCTCCAGGCTGAAGCTGGTGTAGTAGAGGCAGCGAACGGTCAGCGTGAACTGCAGCAGGTAGTACTCGTTTTCTGTCTTGTACCACCTTCTCTACAAAATCAAAAGGAGAGAACAACCTTTGAGTGGCCAGAAGGGACATTGTCCGGTCCCACCACAGGCGCTGGCCAGCAGGACCTCCTTCTTCTGAGAATCCGAGGGGGCTCTGGGAAGGAGACCTCTTCCTCAAGTAGAGCAGCTGTGCCGTAAGAGGGAGTCGCGAACCAATGAACACCAGGTAAATCTCACTGGCAATCCAATCAAGTTAATGAGCAGCATTTGTGCCATAAGAGGGAGTCAAGAACCAATGAACACCAGGTAAATCTCACTGGCAATCCAATCAAGTTAATGAGCAGCATTTGTGCCATAAGAGGGAGTAAAGAACCAATGAACACCAGGTAAATCTCACTGGTCATCAAAGCAAGCAGTTAATGAGCAGTAGAAAAAGAACGTCTCTACTATAAACTTAGCATTAGGACTGACACAACATAAGGAAGGTATTTATCGATCAGATACATCCAGGGCATGAGGTGCAGATTAGCTATCTCCAGTGGATACTTTGACTTCTTCTTCAACAATTCAGATGACAAAAAAGGGCTTAAAATATCCCCTAGGATTTCTGTCTTCAACATATTTTTCTTTTTGCTCTTTTGTTATCAGTCTGGCTGTATATTTAGTTGAGTAGCATTTGCCAAATAAGCTAAACAGACAAATATTTTTAAAAACCAGTCCCTGCCCTCAGTATGTTTAAATTCTCATACAGGACATTGGTGTGTAAAAATGCAATTACAATACAGCATGAAACAAATAAACCTGTGCAAAAACATGCATGGAACAAAAGAAGGAAATACAACAAAATGTTAATATCGGGGAGTAAAATCATGAAGCATTTTCTAATTTCTATACTTTTGTATATTTTCCATGTTTTCTAAAAATACGTTTAGTGAGGAAAACTATTTATGGAAATATATACAAGAAATAGAACGTGGATCAAAGGAGAAAGTAATTAATTTGATTCATCAGGGTCTTTTAAGGCTGTACACAGAAAAACCAACCACTGAACAAAGTTTCTACTTCTTATACAAGACGTTAGCAGCCGCCAAGGGGAAAGAGGATAATCATATCAGGACAACCACATGTGCAAAAGCATGGAAACCCAGCTCGTTTCTAATCATACAATCTCCTTCCTCGATGTTTTTCAAATCACTGTAAAATTTGCAGAACAAATGAATATTTGTTCACCTCCAACATCCATAACTGATGCTAACTGTGCCCAAAGAAATGATTAGCACAATTAGATTGTACACTTGCCAGGCCCCCAAAAAGCTGGATATGAATTTGTTTTTATTTTTACTGTAAATCCATTTTTAAGCACACTTGCTTAAATGGTTGCCTAGTTAATCATTCTGGAACATATCCTTTTTTAAAATTGAGTGATTATCTGATATACTCTCTTAAGCCCAGATTTTGACATATGTGCTTAAAGTATTAGCCCCACATCATTAGTGAGAATGAGAAAAGTTAAGGTAGATGAAAAACAGCAAAAAATACTGGAGCTTTCAAAATGCTGCCATTTTCACAAAATTACTTAACTGGCATGATCTTGTTTGACTCTCAGAACAATCCCCCGAGGAAGAAAGAGCATTTCTTATTCCATTTTCCAAATGATGAGAGACTCAGAGGTTAAATGTCTACTCCAGTCTGGAGAGTAGGAAGAGACGGGAAATAGAAGAAACTAAAAACCAGGTTATCCAGCTCACCTTTCCCATCATGTTCCTTCTCATCACTGTGAGGATCCAGGGCACATGAACACTAAGTGCAGTCACCTCGATCAATGAATGAGTGAGTGAGTGAGTGAGTGAGTGAATGAATGAACAAAAATAAAGATACCACAGGAGTTCCAGTTCCACAGTGATGGAAGAAAGAATATCCAACACTTCCCAAGATTTTGAATGTGCCTCTGGAGATCTTGGGGGTTAGAGGAAGGGATAGCTGTGTGCACTGTCCCCAAATCTCCATGTGACTCCTGGTCACTTACATGCTACTGTTTTATTGTGTTCCCATTTGTAAGAGCCAGCAGCTGTCAGAAGAGTATGTGACACTAACTGATCTGTTTTTCTGTGGCTCTTTTATTCCTTACCTTTAGAGACTGAGGTTCTAAGCTGTACTTTGAAAGAGAATCAGGCGGACAGGGATGATAGGAAGGTTGGTTCCAAGAGACAGGGTAAACATATGTCATGTGTAAAGGGGAAAGGTAAGCAGATTGGCCTGACTCAGAAAACAGTTCCTGCCACCAAGGCAGTGTTTGGGAACCAGGCAAGGGAGAAAAAGGTCAATGAAGGTGGGAAACATCAGTGGTTCTGCCCTGGGCCATGATCTCCAATGTTTTCCAAGTTGCCCATCTCTCAGGCTGACTGACGCCGAAGCCGAAGGGCTGTGAGGCCAAGTGCCCAGGAGCAGACCCTGGAGCTGGGGCCCTGGACTTGTATTCTTCTTGCCACGCATTTCTACTTAAAGGAAAACTCCCACTTCTGGATGGTTGTGAGTTCCACACAGACTCTCCCTTTTCTCCCCTGCAGCCACAGATCTGATGGCTTCCTTGGCAACTGTCTTTGATGACAAGCCCTATTCTCCAACTTGAACTTGTAAAGGTTGTATTCTGGGAGAAGGAAGCTCACACAGCCTGGGTGGGGCTGAGATAGCCTGAGGGGCCTAAGCTTCATTTGCACAAGCAGGGCTAGGTCACTTCAGTTACCAAAGACAGAATCAGATAGTCTGGAGCTGTCCAGGAGATGCTGCCCACTGCCCAGGGGATTATCAGAGAACGCACAACAGAAATCAGAAAATGCAGTGCAGGAAGAATTTGCTGATAGGTGCTATCAGCTCAGCAAAGCACAGCAAATTCCTGACCTCAGAAAGCAGTCTCTCTGCCATCCAACATCCTCTGGGCCAAGTCTGATGCACACTTAGAAAATTAAAATGCACTATTATTGTGACTAAGAAAAAAAACATGAAGCTAAAAGGTAAATTCCTATAAAAGATTTTACTAATGCAAACAAAAGACACAAAGAAGGGTGGTTTAAGCCCAACGTTCTCCTCTATTAGCACCAACAACTAACAGGTGATTGAGTCCGTCAACATGCCTCTGGTTTACAAAAATGAAAACGTGGTCTGTGCCCTTTAGGGCTAAACACCTTGTTTTCACTCATCTAAATTGTAAGAGCTTCCACTGGGGCACGTGAGTAGATAATAAATCAGTTCCTGGCCAGGCACCGTGGCTCACACCTGCAGTCCTAGCACTTTGGGAGGCTGAGGCAGGTGGATCACATGAAGCCAGGAGTTAGAGACCAGCCCTGCCAACATGGTGAAACCCTGTCTCTACTAAAAATGCAAAAATTAGCCACGTGTGGTGGCAGGTACCTGTAATCCCAGGTACTTGGGAGGCTAAGGCAGAAGAATCTCTTGAACCAGGAGGTAGAGGTTGCAGTTAGTCAAGATCACGCCACTGCACTCCAGCCTGGACGACAGAGACTTCATCTCAATTAATCAATCTGTTCCCTCAATCAGGAAGACGAAAAACACCTGACTTACTACCACAGGGCCAGGAAGGCATCAGATGAGTTGAGGGATGTACATAATCCCTATATATTGTAGAGCACTCTCCAGATGATTGTTTAGTAAACCATCTGTTTATGTCTTCTCTCTTTGTTCCTAACCCTCTGGTCCTGCGACATCTGGCACTCCACATGCCCACCCAAACTGGGAGAGATGGTACAGGGTCAGCCCTGGGCAATCTGACAGGGCTAAGATACAGCCAGAAATGAAAAGATTGCAGAATGCACCACTAGGGTTGACATGTAGCAACCCTATATGGCCACTATGGGGAGCCCCATCATGGTTCTACAATCATCTCTGGTCTGAAAACCAAGGTGTCTACTGGGATTAAGGCAAAGCCAAAGGGGCCTTCTCTGGATTCCCAGTGGCAATGGGAAGACACTTACCTTAACTTCCTCCACACCCTGCAGCCTCAGTGTGGAGAGCAGGAGGAGAGAACAGAGCCATGACAGGAGCTGAGACTGGAACTGGGCCACGCAGAAAGAGATGGTGGTGTGGAGCAAAACCATGGCCACGCCAGGGGTCCCCAGCACACACCAGCAGGCCCACATCCCATAGAGCATGAGAATCCAGGGTCTGTGCTGCAGACAGGGTGGGCCCATCCAGAGAGACAGAGAGGGAGAGGGGAGGAAGAAAACAGAGACGTGAGTTCATGCAATTGCTATTGAAGGTTCTACTCAGAAGAGGATCATGTTTAATTGCCCAATAAAGAAACTATTCTCACTGCCCTGGGAATCTGGTACAACACAGAGAAACAATATTCAGAGGAACTTCCCACAGTAACCCTCAGAGTTCCATCAGCTCCACCCAGAAGCAAGTCACCATTCTCCTGCCTTCAAGCAAAGCCACCCAGACCCCTGGGTTGTAAAATAAGATATTAGATTGACTTTTCAACAGACACAATGGAAGCCAGAAGACAGCTGGAAAACTGCCAACTGGAACACCACATCCTGCATACACCGTCCTTCAGAAGTGAAGGTGAGAGGAAGTATTAGTACACATTTCTAGGGAGACTTCTTAAGAAAACTGGGTCATCCAAGCCACAAAAGGCTCTCCAAAGTCTAACCCAGAGACTTTAAATATGTATTTCTTGTTACATCTTTGATTTTTTACATATCGATTACAGTCAAATTTATGTCACAGAAAAATTGCATCTTTTTGAGCTGTTGAGGACTTTGCATAGTCTACCTGACTGATACATTTATTCCCATTTTAGGAGAATCACAGATTTTTATCTAATCAAGTAATTTCTAGTTATCACATTCAATAAGTAGATGAATTAACATGTCTTTGCTTTATGATATAATTTTGGTCAGATCTGATTGGGAAATCCTTATTTAAAAACCACAGTGTTTTAACTTTGAGACACAGGATACCATTGTGGTTTAATGATTCAAGCTTTGAAGTCCAACTGCCTAAATTCAAATGCTTGTGTCTCAGTTATAACTATCTGTGTAATCTTAGGCAAATGACCATCTCTCTGTGGATTTGTTTCTTCATATATAAAACTGGGATAATAACAGCATCTCCTTCACATGTATATACCCAGGAAGGACTCTACAAATATGGTTACTATTCCCATAGGGAAATACGATGTCTCACAGGCATGCATTTTAAAATATGGATCTCAGGAACACACCAAATTGAAAAGCGGAAAGTGCCTGAATTTAGGTCTTCCTGTGGAAACAAAGACTTTTTTCAGGGCAAGACAGATGTGGAGTATAAATTGTAAATCCCATGCTGAGATGCTAACTCTTTCAAAATATTGCCTACCTACCATCCTTTCCAAACCTATACACTCACACTCAAGAAAGAACATTTTAAATAAGAGACTAGGTCAGCCATTTGTAAGTTCCAAGAAAACCAGAGAAATGTGAAGCTCATTTTTACTATTTTTCCATCCTACTCACAGAAAACAGCCACACAGATTTGCTTCAAACACTCACATCTGGGCAGAGTCCAATTACAAGGAAAACGTCGCCAAAGAATATTTTAAGAGGTAGTTTTAACAAATGAAAAAAAGGAGGTTCTTTCCAACATTTACCAATGGAATTATTTTTCGTGCATGTACGGCTACACACACAGACACAGTTATCTTTTTATTAAGTGCTATTTGATCCCTTTGGAAAAAGCCTGTTTGCTGGGATTCATTTGGGAACTTACCACAGACTGAAGCTGCTTCAACTTGGAAAATGCTGAAAGAACCATCAGGAAATACTTGATAGTGCTGTGTAACCCCCATTTACTTGAGAGACTCTATGATGAATTTAACAGTGGTCTCCAAAGCCACCTCGAGGCAGACAAGTTTGTCCCATATTCACACCCCTACAGCCAAACAGTCCAGGCAGACCACACTTAATACTGTTCTAAGACATCACAGAACTCGCTCTCACATGAGCCTCGTGTTCTCTACCCACCTTAATATTACCACTGATTCTCCCCCAGTACAAGGAACTCTACGATATACATTCATGGTACACAGGCGATGAAAAGGAAAAGATGTGAATAATGCAAAAAGAATCACCTACACAAAACTGGTGTATAGATTGGAACTCCACTAAAATGTTGATTTTCATACTTTGTCTATTAAAATGCCATTGGAATGAATCCTATCCACAAAACATCATTAAAATCCTGCAAGAGGAGAATCACTTGAACCCAGGAGGCGGAGGTTACAGTGAGCCAAGATAGTGCCATTGCACTCAGCCTGGGAGACGAGAGTGAAACTCCATCTCAAAATAAATAAGCAATAAAAAATAATAAAATTTTAAATAAACAAAAAACGAACAAATAAGTAAACAAAATTCTGCTATGGCAGAATCAGCCTCCTAAGTCTTGCAATCCAGGATGCAATCTGGCACCATGAGAGGGCAGTCCCCATTACAGATGTAGCCCACAGAGCACAGCTGCCCAAACGCTATCCCTCCCATGTGTATACCTAGATCAGAAGCACTATGAAGAGGGATCTAGGATAAAAGGGTGGCATGGCCCAGCATGGTGAGCTGCAGCATGGATGGCCTGCTTCTCTGGGCAGCAGAAGAGCTTTTTCTAAGCATTTCAAAGACCAGTTTCACAGGCAAAGTCCTAAGGAGAGCCCTGTCCTATCCATCTCTACTCCAAATGTGCTTATTTATCAACTTTTTTCCCTCTCTTAAAATTGCTTACTTATCAGTAGTAAGCCTCTGACATCAACAAGGCCAGAACTTTAACTTTTCAGAAATAAAAAAATAAAATGTGTTGCATTTTATTCCAAAACAACAGTTTTGACTTATCACTAGAAAGGCTTGTAGATTTTTCTTCCAGGTTCTTGGGTAGTAAGAGCAGATCCACAAGATTTGGTCACACACATACTCTATGTCAAACTCAAGCTTTAAAACCCACCTCAACACCAAAATAGCCCAGTTCATTTAAATTACAAGGTTCGAATCATGAATATGATTGGGAACTACTTGTTACTTGAAAAAAGACACAAAGAATCACATCGATCACATAAAGTATGTAAGTAAAATATGGCCTTAATTTAATATTGGACTGTGATGTTTCTGATTTATAAATTTAGACTCCAATGGCATACAACTTTTATATAATGTTCTTTCTCTAAGATTTTTATTGAGATAGTTGTATTCACAAATACATACAAGAGAGATCCCTTGTACACTTTACCCAGTGTCTTCCTATGACGTTTTAAAACCATAAATATCACATCCAGGATATTGATGTTGTTGCTATGCACCAAACTTATTCAGATTTCCCTAGAATCACTTGCATTTATGTGTGTGTGTTTAGTTCTATACAATTTTAACACATGCATAGGTTTGGCATCTACCACAGTAAAAACGCAGAACAGCTCCATCACCACAAGGATCCCTCGTGTTGCCATTTTATACCACATTTACCTCTTTCCCATTACTCCGATCCCCCCCATCCCCAATCCTGACAACCAATAACCTCTTCTCCATTTCCAAGATTGGCTTTTTTGACTCAGCATAATTTCCTGCAGATTCATCCAAGTTGCTGTGGGTATCAACGGTTCGCTTTTTATTGCTGAGTAATTTTCCATGAAGTGGATATTACCACAGCTTGTTAGCCATATACCTACTGGAGGCTATCTAGGCTGTTTCCAATTTGGAGCTATTAAAATAAAACTTATGCCAACATACATGTGTAGATTTTTTGTAAAAATAAGTTTTAACTTCTCTGGAATAAATGCCCAAGATCACGCTTGCTGGGTTGCAAGGTAGCTGCCTGTTTAGTTCTATAATAAACGATCAAACAGGTTTTCAGCATGGCTGTACATTGACCTTTCCCGCCAGCAATGCATGTGGGAGCCAGCTTATTCACTTCCTTGCCAGCATTTGGTGCTGTTACTATGTTCTATCTGAGCCATGCTGGTAAGTGCATAATGACATCTCATTGTGGTTTTAATTAGAATGTATCATGCTTTTTTAAAAGGTATCAAAGCATGAGTGACCCGAAGCTTGAGATGAGTTTGCTGGAGCATGGGATGACAGCCCCACCAGAACTACTCTGACCTCCCTTAATGCTCTTTATTCCAGGTTCTTCCATTTCTAATAGAAGGTGAAACAGAAAGCAGGGGAAGAGAGGACATGCTTAAAAGTCTGATGAAAAATAAAGTATACTCTATTTTTGTAGCAGTGGAGATAAAGCCAGACTAAGAACTCCAGGGCCTCTCTGATGAGACATAGATCTTCCTACCTGCCCCCCACCCCCGGCAGTTGACTTAAGCAGGCATCCTTCCCCTCAGCTCCCTGGGTCTACGGTGAACCACTCTCAAAATGGGGTCTGACTCTACTTGATAGTTTCCCTTAACAGGCTAAACTCCTGCCTTGTTTAGATTACAGTAATGTGAGCCCAGAATCTAGCACAATGCCTAGCACATATTAAGTGTTTCATAACTACTGGAAGGATGGATGGAGAGAATAGTGGCATGGAAGGATAGCTGGGTAGATAGATATACTTTCCTAAGTCTTGGGATTTAACCTTGTGATTGTCTAAGAAGTAACAAGAAAATAGCACTAAAATTTGGGCTTTGGAAACCACTAACATGAAAACTTTCTTCCAAAGTCTCTACTTGTCCTACTTAACCCCTTATAAACAAAGGCTATTTTGTCAATGTCAGTAGAATGGAAGAGACATCTCACAGCCTATTACCTATTTGTCACTCACAGCATCTCTTAAATCTACTTCAGTTGGGGGAAATATCCAATAGTTAACAACTGACGGGACATAGGCACCAATTTAGGAAAGTGAATACCTGTTACAGAGCATCTGTCACCCGCAGTCTCCTGGGGGAATAACCAATTGAGCTGGCAGAGCTCCAAGGATAGAATCAGTGCCCCTCAGAAAAAACTAGATTTGCCCTGCTTTATTTTGAAATCTATACTCTTAAAACCTTCTTCATGGGGAATCAAGAAAAACTGCCAGACAAGGCCCCTTCTCACACCATCTCTATGTTTCTACTTTGGCTCATCCTGTGCCAAGGGCACCAAGTGTTGATAGGATATGCCTGAGTGGCTTCCCTCCCTAGTTTACCTCTATAGGGAGGAGTGAAAGTGTAAAG